GTGTCCTGAGAGTCCGGGACGGTGCCCGGCTCAAGGAGCCTGGATGGGGTGGAAGGGCAGGCACTGCGTGGCCCTGGGCCTGGGAAGAAGCCAGCCGGGATGCCGGGTGTCCCTGGGCCGACGTGACTGTGGGCACGGCACTCCAGCCTGCCTCTTCCTCCCCTCAGGGACTGGAGTGTGGCTTGCAGGAGCGGCCTGGCCCATCCCAGGCCGCTGGACACTCTCACGTGGCTCAGCAGGGGACATTTATAGCCAGAGAGGGGGAGAGGAGGGAGCCCAGAGGGCCCCCTATGGCCTGGCCAGGAGCTCGTGGGTCCACCACCCTCCAGCCCAGCCTTCCCCACTCTGACCACCAGGTGTCTCCCTCTAGGCTGGCCACAGGAAGTGGTTTTCAGGATGCTCCTAAAGGGTCTGAGACCTGGTGACCTGCCCTCTCCCCACTGGGTGTCCCACAGCCCTGTAGGGTAGGAAGGTCCAGGCGAGGGTCTCCGCCACCCCGTGGTCCTCAGCTGCCTCGTGGTCTCCGTGCAGTGCAGACCCTGCCCCACGTGGATGGCCCTGCAGTCTGTCCTTGGCCTGAGAAGCTGCGGCGTCCAGGGAGAGCCCTCAGGACATAGAAAGAGACTGACTTTAGGTCGCGGCTCATGTGACATGGGGGACTCCCGCCAGGCTGGCGCAGGGGCACCCCGCAGGTCCTTGGTGCTCAGAGACCCAGACAGAGCCCTGGATCCTGGGAGCTGGACGTGCACTTGGGCAGTCCACACACCTAGGACAGGCGTCCCAGTGAGGGGCTGAGTGTAGGAGGGGCAGGTGGCCCCTGCAGCCCCGGGGCAGAGCGAGCGGGGCTTTGGGGTGGTTTGCATTCTTTGTCCTGTGTCTGCGTCACAAACTCACCCCAAAGGGGCACTTCAGGCCACGGGGAGGCCTTCGCCCCTGCCCAGGCATGGAGTCTGACGGGAGGTGAGGGCAGTGCGCTCCTCCGCAGCCTCCCGGGAGGCGCCTCCCCTCCTCCGCGGCTCCGGATCCCTGTTGGTGCCGCCTGCCAGCTCCTGGCTCCAGGCTCTGCTGCAGTGGTCACATGGCCTCCCCTGGATGGCCGTGCTTCCTCTGCTTATAAGGACATGTCCCTGCACAGGGGCCCCTGCTCCAGATGACTCACCAGGGCCCCTCCCATCTGCAGAGACCCTGTTTCCAAATAAGGTCATGTTCAGAGGCCTGGGGTGGACATGCCTTTTGGGGGGACACTGTTCTGCCCAGCACAGTCCCCAAAAGTAAAGGGAGCTGAGAAGGGGAGAGGGACCATGGGGCCAGCGAGGCGGCACAGCCAGGGGTGCACAGGGACCTGACCAGGGAGCCCGCAGCAGGGCTCTGGGACTTGACCCCTGTGCCACTGACCCTAAAGCCCTTCCTTTGGTGTGAGCTTAACCCCCCCACACACCCCCGTCACGGGAACCCGACACACCAAGGACAGGAGCTGCTGGGGGGCGGAGCGGCCTCCCCCTCCTGCACCCCACTCCGCCAGCTCCCACCATTGCTGATGTTTCGCTTTCTTTTAAGCAAAGTGGACACGTGTTGCAATGCCTGGACCCCGTGGATGGTCCCCGTGGACGGTCCTCTGCACTGTACTCAAGTCTGTGTGACAACGAGTAGACTCCACTTAGAACGAGGGAACCCCGGAACCGTGGCACCCAGCCGGCGCCTTCCTGTCCCCCATGTGCATCTGGGACCTCAGGGCCCCCAAACCCCCCCGGGGCTCTTTCTCACACACCCTCCTGAGTGACCAGTGTCCTCAGCCCCGCCCCCCTGAGTATGACCCCTGGGGAAGGCCAGCAATAGGAAGAGTCCTGGCCCCCTTGACCCCACAAACAGGGGCCCTGCAGCCTCCCGGGAACCCAACAGCCCAGCCACAAGCCCCCATCTTCCGGGCAGTGGGCAGCCCCAGCCCATGCCACCTGGGAAGCTGGCCCCTAGGGAGGGGTTGCCAGGCGACCGGTCGTGACTGCTCCCAGGGCCTGCTGGGTGGCCACGTCACCTGGCAACCAGGTAGCAGCGTCCCTGGAGCCCAGGCCCCACAGCTGCGCCCAGGCCTGCCTGGCTCCTCCTGGGCCTGGGGGACCCCTGGGGCCCATCCTGATTCCCAGAGACAGGACGGCAGGCGCCGGGCAGAATGAGCATCGTCTTCTCCAGGTGAGTGGCCCGGCAGGAGGGGACAGAGGGTGCTCCTCAGGTCCAAGGCCCTCGAGGAGGAGGGGAGTGGGGACTGCTGGGGGGGCTCCCTCCTTCCTCCCCTCCCCCCTCTCTCCTTCCTGCCCCCCTCCTCAGAGCCCAGGGCAGGCAGGGCTGCTGACCATGGAGGCCCCAGACCCCACCTCTGTCTGCTTCCCGCTGTGCTCTGTAGACCTGGGCGGCCGGGTTCACAATGTCTGTCCTCTGTGTCCCTCACTCTTCCCCACCTGGACCTCTTCCTGCCTCCAGCCAGCACTGGCCCCTACTGGGCATGGCCGGAGGGTTGGCAGAGGGACACAGAGGGGCAGCCTGGGCAGAGGGGCAGGGAAGCGGCTGGAGGGGGGTGGAGGGCGGGGGGCCCAGCGCCTGGTGGGCACAGGGACAACCAAGGAGAGGGCCGTCAGTGAGGCGGGACAGGAGACGTTCCGGGGCGGGGCAGGGGACGAGGGCAGAGACTGTCCCTCCTGAGGCTGTGACAGGGACGCGCCACTCTGGGCATCTTGGATCCCGAGGAGCTTGCAGCGCCTGGGTGATGCCTCAGGCCTGCTGTGGGCCATGTCCACATGGTGTGCCCTGTGGTCCCTCGCTGTGGCCAGCGGGCCTGGACGGGAGGAGGCCTGAGTGGGCGGGGTGTGGGAGCACTGGCCTTCTGCTCTCCCAGAGACCCAAACCAGTCCCCAAAACAGAACAAAAGTTAAAAACCAAGAAGCAGAACCCCCAGTAGGGTTCAGAGAGGGGAGAGGAAGCCTGGGCCCCGGGTGGGGGACGAGGCCCCTGGCCAGGCCTGGGAGCGGAGGGGGCCCCAGGGCAAAGCCCCTCGAGGGCCCAGGGCAGGGCCAGTGGGGAGCAAGCCCGTTGGCATCCCTGGCCCTGCTGACCGGCTGGTGGGCAGGCGGCTCTCATTTCTCCCTGGGCCGGCTGCCCCGAGCGCCACGCTGGGCCTGGTGCCTGGATGGCGCTGGCCTCACAGGAGGGACAGGCTGTGGTGGCTCCTGTGACTGTGACCCTAGTCTGGTCCTGGTGCCCAGGGGGCAGTGCCGCCCTGGCCTCGCCGGGCATTGCCGCCTAGCACAGCCCCTTGGGCCCTGCCTCCCCAGGGACAGCCAGGTGAGGCTGATGGACAGCACGGTGACCAATGCTGAAAAGTACTTCGGGCAGTTCTGCTCGCTGCTGGCCGCCTACACCCGCAAGACGGCCCGGCTGCGGGACAAGGCAGACCAGCTGGTCAAGCAGCTGGCCGACTTCGCCAACACCGAGGGCCCCGAGATGCGGGCCACCGTGAGGGACTTCGCGGAGGACCTGGCCCAAGTGCAGGACTACCGGCAGGCCGAGGTGAGGGGTCCAGGCCTGTGGCCAAGTCAGGAGTGAGGCTGGGACCTGACGGCCTGGTGCCTCCTGAGGTGTCCCCAGGACTGGACACTGCACCACCCCTGCCCAGGCCACACAGCTCGCAGGACGAGGGTTGAGGTGCACAAGGGCTGGGCCAGGAGACCAGGAAGCCAGGCCCGGGGCCCCAGGGCCTGGAGAAGGGACAGAGTCCTGGGGACAGAGGGCCAAGGCGGCCAGCGGGTATCTGGGAAGTAGACTCTGC